ACAGATATCCAATTTCATTACTCTCCATAATAATTTGATATTTGCTGCCCTCTTGTGTCGCAGCAACACTGAGCGTATGTGAGGTGTTAGAGCAGGTGTAAAGTGTGACAGATGTACTCGTGCTGAGCATCTGAACATTCTGAAAACAGCCTCATGTTAGACTCACAGCCTCATTTCAGGTCACCGAGTGTGAATCTCACTGAGCATCTGCGCTCATTTGCACTACATTAAACACGTCTCTTTACTGGGTAAGAATTGAAAGCATGTGGCGAAATGTCTAAATATATAAATAATAATATAATATAATATAAAAATAATATAAAAACCCTGTCTCTCAGCATAAATTCACATTTACAGCGTTAGTAGGAAAGTGGTGTTTAGTGAGTGAAAAGGAGGAGATGAAATGAATATTTATGAAGCTCTGCTGTTTCAGCTAAAGAACCAACAACAGCGTCATCTGCAGGCTCGCAGCATTAACAACAATCACGAACAGTATTTCATGAGTTCATTTTCCTTCAGATTAGTCTCTTATTCATCAGGGGTCGTCACAGCGGAAGGAACCACCAACTATTCCAGCATATGTTTTACACATTGGATGCCCTTCCAGCCGCAACCAAATATTGGGAAACACCTATACACTTCGAAGACTTTTTATTTATTGATATTAACGAAATGTTTCCCAGAGATGGGTTGTGGCTGGAAGGGCATCCGCTGCGTAAAAACTTTTTGGATAAGTTGGCGGTTCATTCCGCTGTGGTGACCGCGGATTAATAAAGGGACTAAGCCGACAAGAAAATGAATGAATGAATTAACCAAATGTTAATGGATCCATTTCAAAAATATTTCATTTACTTAATCATTCTTTACGAAATAACAAGTCAAACTTAAATTAGTTTTTCCCTAAAACATGCAAAATAATCAGCCAATGAGTCTTATGTCAAAGTAAAAACATAATTATTAAACGCAATCTCACGGTAATTCGTAACTTTGATTTAGTGGCTAATTCGCATGAATTCGTACGATCTAATTCGTAAAATTTAGTACGATTTGCTCATCCCCCAATGACGGTTGGGTTTAGGGGTGGAGTTAGGTGCCACGCCTCCTTTTTAAAATCGTACATTTTCGTACGACCGAACTCGTACGAATTTGTATGAATTCGCCGCTAAACTGACAAAACGTAAAATACTTAGGTTTCCTCCTGAGATCAGGCTGGATGATTTTACTTACCCCATTTGTCAGATTATTGCTTTTGAGGACAAACTCATTCAACTTATGACATTTTTATTTATTTATTTATTTATTTATTTATTTATTTATTTATTTGTTTGTTTGTTTATTTTGTTTTTGTCATGGACATCACAATACTGCCTACAACTATGTGGACACCTATTCATTGTACACATCGCTGTCAATTTTACATTGTCCTGTTTTTTACGAGTATGCTGTTATCGTTGTATTTGCATTGTCTGTATTTTGCACTGTCTGTATTTTGAAGTGTCTGGAGCCAGCACCTAAGCTTCTCCCTCATCATAGCACACGTGCTGCTGATGATGTGACAATAAAAGGGATTTGATTTGATTACACTGCACAACCAAATACATGTTTAAGTGTTTTAGCAGACTTGCTAATTCTCATCACCTGTCCACTGGAGGCTCGACAAAACAAAATAAAAAAAAGTACACATACACAACATTATAATTCTTTACATAAAATTACTGAAGGCAAAAGCAAAGGCGGCATGATCAAACAAGCTAATAGTAGACCATTTGTTAAACACTGCTGTTTTGTTTTAACCACTTTGAGGTACACTACTGAAATATATTCACACTACTTTCTAATTTTAGGCTAACAGGTAAATCCTTCCACAATTTGGTTCCTTTAACAGAAAAAAAACTGACCAAAAGAGGTCCTAGCCAGCATATGTTTTACACAGCGGATGCCCTTCCAGCTGCAACCCATCACTGGGAATCATCCATACACACTTATTCAGACACATACACTACGGACAATTTAGCCTATTCAATTCCCCTAAAGCGCATGTGTTTGGACTGTGGGGGAAACCCGAGCACGCCACGCCAACACGGGGAGAACATGCAAACTCCACACAGAAACACCAACTGACCCAGCCGAGGCTCGAACCAGCAACCTTCTTGCTGTGAGGTGACAACGTGCTACTCAATTTAAGATAATTAAATTTTAATAAAACTATCAAAACTAAAAAGGTTATGTTTACATAAAACATCAGTGATGCCATCGCGTATAGGCTTTCAAGAGTTCACACTCAGCTCATGGTGGATTTTAAAGCTTGTTTAGCATGCTGTCCCGAGAGAAAACCCTGAGCTCATAAGATCCTCGAGCCCGGGGCTCCCTCACATTTGAAGGGGGAGGAGGGGAGTTTAAGCTCGGGTAGATCTGGAGTAGGAAATGTGCAAGGAAAATGTTCTGTATTGTGAGGATAGAGTGTGATTTATTCATGTATTTATTTATTTATTTATTTATTTATTTATTCATTTATTTATTTATTTATTTATTTATTTATTTATTTATTGTTATTATTACACCACCAGACTGTTACAACAATTATAAATTGACCACCTCCAAGAAAAAAATCCAGGAAGTGCTACAGCTATAAATAAAAATGAAATAACAAAACACAAAAGCAGGAGAATGCTGGACACTGAAGATTTCCTTTACACAGTTTGCAGTGCTGATAGTGATGAGCAGTTCTGCCTTCATTATCAATCTCTGGTGAAACGGCACATTTGCCCACATCCGCTTACTGCAATGTTATTTTTTTGTTGACGAAACATGTCATGTGGTTGTTAAACTGCAAAGAAATGCTTTTAGCTTGGTGTTTTGTTCGTTTCTAGAAGAATTTTCTAGATGAGCAAACAATATTGTGCCGTTTTCAGAAATAATGAGTCAAAATTACGTGAGCTTTTCCTTAAAACAAGCAAAAAAATCTGCCAATAGGGGAAGGGAAATAATTCTTGTTTTTAATTTTGATATACGATTATTTTATTGATTTATTGATTTATTATTTTGCTTGTTTTAAGGAAAAACTCACTTCATTTTGTCTCATTATTTCTGAAAACAAGACAATATTGTATTGCTTGTCTAGAAATGCTTCTTCATTCAAGAATTGTTAGACATTTTGACTGGAAACAAGACAAAAACTCTAAAGTAAGAAAGATATTTCTGTGCAAATGTAAAGGTTAAACAGTTAAATTATTATTTCTGGTAAAATTAAACAGTAGACTTATATTTAGACAATCTAAAGCATGTCTGTAATGACTAATTTGTGTTTATTTTCCGGATTTGGCCACACTTTGGACGGCTCTGATCCAGTCCTTGCGCTCGTCAGCTGTGGCCGCCTGCAGGTAGTAGTGTATCTCGTCTGAAGTGATGATCTCGAACAGATTCCCATCAACTTCGTGCCTCTTGGCTACACAGAAGCGAGACGTTTGCATTAAATACACAGTAAAGAAAAATTAATGCATTACAATTCTGGTCACACTTTACAATAAGGTTCATTGGTTAATGGTAATGCATTTACTAACATGAACAGACAATGAACAATACATTTACTACAGTATTTATTCATGTTAGTTATAATGAAAATACAGTTGTTCGTTGTTATTTAACTCATGGTGCATTAACTAATGTTAACAAGCATGGACTTGAATGTTAATAATGCATTAGTAAATGTTCAATTATGATTAATAAATGCTGTACATGTGTTGTTCATGTTAGTAAATGTATTAACTTATGAACCTCATTGTAAAGTGTTACCACAATTCTGCATGCCAAAAAAATCTTAAGAGTTCAAAAGAATCTTGGGAGCTTTTGTCTAATTTCTAGACCAAATATCTAAAAATTTATTAAATCAGGAAGCATTTTCTAGACATGCAGAAATATAGTTTTGTTTTCAGAAATAATGAGTCAAAACTAAGTAAGTTTTTCCTTAAAACAAGCAAAATAATCTGATTTCAAAGTGAAAACTTGATTATTTCTCTTCCCCCATTGGCAGATTATTTAGCTTGTTTAATACTGAAAACAAGACAATATTTTGGGCATCTTAAATTAAGGATTTTAAATATTTGGACTAGAAACAAGACAAAAACTCTATTACAAATATGTTCCATAATTAATAATTATTCACTGTATTAGAATATCTACTGGGTGGGCCATGGAGACACCTTGATAAACTGGGAATGGTTGGTAATATTAACATCCTGTTTGTGGCACATTAGTATATGTGAGGGGGCAAACTTTTCAAGATGGGTGGTGACCATGGTGGCCCTTTTGAAGTCGGCCATCTTGGATCCAACTTTTATTTCCCAGCACAGGACTCCAGCATCCATAGTTTCAGGGGCTGCACATCTTGTATCTTCACACCACAGACAACACAGATAGTGGGGCGATTCTTAATTAACCTCAAGCCCACTGCATATTTGAAACTCCTACATGATGATGTGTTTCCCTCTTTATGCACTGACGCTGGCACGCTCCCTGAGTTTTCCCAGCAAGATGGTGCAGCACCACATTATGGGTGTCAGGTCCGAGCATTCCTAGATGAACGGTTTCCTGAAAAGTGGATTGGTCGTCTTGGGAAAGTTGAATGGCCCCCAAGGTCTCCCAATCTGACCCCCTTAGACTTTTTTCTTTAGGGTCATCTGAAGGCAATTGTCTATGATGTGAAGATACAAGATGTGCAGCACCTGAAACTACGGACGCTGGAAGCCTGTGCTGGCATTTCTCCTGCGGTGTTGCTATCAGTGTGTGAAGAGTGGGAGAAGAGGGTTGCATTGACAGTACAACACAATGGGCAGCACACTGAACACACTTTATAAATGGTCGGAAACTTGTAAATAACTCATGAAAGAATAACGCTACGTTAAAACCAAGCACACCGTTGGTTTTCTTGTGAAATTCCCAATAAGTTTGAGGTGTCACATGACCCTCTTCCTATTGAAAAAAACAAAAGTTAGATCCAAGATGGCCGACTTCAAAAGGGCCCCCATGGTCACCACCCATCTTGAAAAGTTTGCCCCCTCACATATACTAATGTGCCACAAACAGGACATTAATATCACCAACCATTCCCATTTTATTAGGGTGCATCCATATAAATGGCCCACCCTGTATATTCCCCCAATATATCAATAGTGTGCATGCTCATCATCTCAATATATTGAATTATTGAATTTAAGCCTATTTAGTGTGGAAGACTTATAAAGCATTGGTATGGTAACGTCTGTTGTTTGATTGGTCAGCGTACCATCAGGCACAAACTCCACCGCAGTCACAACTGATCCACGCAGATGAATGGAGCCCAGAGGATCATCTTCACCCTTAAAACACACACACACACATATATATATACACACACACACACACAACATCAAAGTTTTATTTAATACTGCATGATTACAAGAAAGTCTCTCTTTAGAGTTGAGGAGCATGCTCACCTTGCTGGGATCATAGTAGTGGATATAAGCAGGATCATCTCTCAGGATAAACTTTCGGACTTTCCAGTTTTTTCTCCGATGACCCTGCGTGAAAAAAGAGAGGAATTGAAAACAATTGTGTGACATGGCGTGTTTTTAGAAGCAAACATAGTTTGACATTCATCAGGATTAAAATCTAATATCCTGCATGCTAAATATTCCAGAGCAGTCGGCTGACTCAACGCCACATGGAGTCAGATGAACTGACGAGCGGCAGCCAATCAGAGAGCAGGTCATGAGCTCATTGGTCGTTGTGTTCAGGAGCTCAACAGAAATGTCTGTGATTGACCAGAATGGTCATCGATGCGCTGGCTTCACCCTGCATTTATGTACACGAAAGCAAATTAAAGCTGAGCCGTGCTGATATATGAGCGATTGACAGATCCGCTGATTGACGATGCTTTCAAACGCTGCCTTCAATGCTTCCGGAGAGATTTCAAACTGTCAGTGATGTCATCACACATCAGCCAATAGCGTTCAGCTCGTTCTGATGGTTCCGCCCTCCACATTTCAATGGCTGCGACAACGTTGTCAGATTATGTAGTGTGTGGCGCCCTGGTGTAGATCATTTACTTAATGTCACATAGTGTGAACACCACAGTGATGGACACAACATCAAGCCATGTAGTCTGAACAATTGCCAATGTTTAAAGTCATGTAGTGTGAATTAGACTTAAGACAGTAAAAATTATTAAATCAAGAAGCATTTTCTAGACAAGCAAAATATGTTGTCTTATTTTTTTTTTAAATAAGTTAAAATTAGGTGAGTTTTTCATTAAATTGAGCTAAATAATCTGCATATGGGGTAGGAAACAAGATTATTTTTCTTCCCCCATTGTCAGATTATTTTGCTCACCTCATTTTGACTCATCATTTCTGAAAACAAGACTATAATTTTGCTTGTCTAGAAAATGCTTCTTGATTTAATAGTTTGTAGATATTTGGACTAATAACAAGACAAAAACCCTGAGTTCGAGAAGCATTTGTTTACAGTCTTGATGTTTTTGCATTGATGTTGAATGTCATTCAGATGAAGGTATTCTCACCTGTTTCAGCAAGCAGCCCTGTTTGACTATCGCACCTCTGAACTCCTCCTTCATAATCACGTCTTCATCACTGGAGTAACCCTCACAGAAGAAACCACTGTCCGCCTGCACACACAGACATTCAGCTCCTGATCAGAGGCTTCATTCTGTCAAACCCAAGCTTCACCTGTGTATACTGTACACTGAATATCCAGGAGTTTTTAAAGCATTTAGAAAACTCAATGTGAAAAATACAGTCAAACGTTTAGTTAGATAATGATTAGGTCAAACTTTTTTTAAGGTACAGTTTTCACTAGTAAGATTAAACTAATAATGCAAAGCATGAAAAAGGTATTGCTATTAACATGACGTATGCAAATAATAAGTGACTGTATATACCAGTATCATCTGTTTAATATCAGACACTTCTTGCTGTGACAACAGAGCACAGGTTTTATTATTATCATCACTTATTATCAAATCTTAGTAAGTAATATCGTCAGCTCACTTCATCTCATTTATATTAAGCAGTGCGTGCAAAGCCGGTGAGCTCATACAGATTGTTTTTTTTTTTCGTTTATTATTACTGTTAATTTCAAATGCAATATATTGGTTAATAAATAAATTGTAATAGCGGTGCTCATCATTTTTGGTGGATGCGCCTTAATTTTGGCTGGAGCTCCTAAATTGTTTAATTGGGAGCACCAGTGCTACATGGAAAAAATCATTTGTTTTCAAGGCCTCTACTGACATTTTTCTGGAGTGAAGGAATGCTAATAAACATTATTAAACTCAAAATAATGCACGTCCATGAACTGGCTTTATTAATATCCATTAATATTCATGACCCTTCCAAATATGGTCAAAACCAACCATCTCATATTAGGGCCAATTCATAAAGCAATGCATGGACCTGTACACCATTTCTGTAGACTTTTGGCACTGCCACATTCATACTCTCTAGATGTCAGAGAATAAAATTAAACTTACTGTATCAATGCGCTCTATGGCACATTCAACACGTTTTAGCAATGCTTTAACTCATGCTAGAAACATGTAAAAGGCTTTAGAATTGATCCAAGAATTATCAGAGCTTGAAATTAATTGTGAACTCACAAAGTAATAAAAGGCCTCAGTCTGGTCCAAGAAAACGCTCTCGGCTCCTTTTTCTGCACCGTCTTTGGACGTGTCTCCTGCCGGCTGCAGGAATCCCTCATTTAGGAGTCCGCTGGCTAACATCACGGCTTCGGTTCGGTTTCTGGACTTTTCCTCAGAGATCAGCCAGTCGATGACGGTGCTCCCTGATCAACACATTCATAGATAAACCCAGCAGACATGCTATTTATACTGACTGACCTTCACTGAGCTGAGGTAAAGTTTTAGTTGAACATCTGTTTACAATCCAGGCTCATTGGAGAGATGTGTGCCCAGGGCTATGTATTTGAGAACTGAGAAATATTTGCGGCTACATCTGCTTGCTGTTTTTGTTTGACAAATCCACTAGAAAAAACATTACTGGGACATGTTTTGTCATCATATGTTTGGTCGTCATATGTGCCATTTCTTCTAAATTCACTAGAGGTCCCTGTGAATATTTCTGTGAATCTCAAATATGTTACCAGGGGATGTGTTCTCATGCATGTGAGATCTTTTGTAAATTCACTAGAGGCCACCGTGTAGATTCTTGACAATCAGGACTATATTACTGGGGCACATTTGGTCATTACATGTGGCATTACTCATTTATCCACTAGAGGGTGCCGTGTGATTTGACAATCTCAAAAACATTACTGAGGCACGTTTGCTCATCATGTCTGGCATTTCTCATGTATCCACTAGAGGGCACTGTGTATATTTTTGCAAATGTCAACATTCTTCTTGTGCGTGTCCGTGAAAAAAAAAAAGTAGGTCAGAATGTCATACGAAAATCAGCTATCTACTAACCCACACATCCCCTTCCCTAAACCCAACCCATAGTGTTTTCAAAAGCAAACTAGAAAAGCCATCATGGCTGCGTGCTTTTACCATGATTTTACACTGCTTTGTTTCACCAGACTCTAATCCTTGTCTGCTCCACTCAGGCCAACGCCATACAAGGTGAGCTACTGAGCAAGCTGACCGCATTGGAAAAGTCATCCATATGGTGGTATATTGGGTACGTATTTCGCGTTTCTCAAATATGTAGTCCTGGGAACATATTCCCAATAAACCTGTGTTTGTTTAGCATTGTTTAAACGTCTGAATATTTAGATTTTTTTTTTATTTCTGACATGTTCAACTAATAAATTCAAATAGAATATGAGAATATGTCCATCAAAACACAGCTGATGGCCTTATGTCTCAAATTTGCTTAGTTTATTGTAAAACTAATGAAACTAACTTTATACTCTTTACAATACACTTTCTATAGTTACAATACGGTTTCTATAGTTTCCAGCAGGATATTTCAGCCTTATGGAGTGAAGATTTCACCTGTGAAACAGTGGTTGAATAGTCTTTTGTCCTTCTCCAGCTTCAGCTCTTTAACTCCTCTGTCTGGATCCTTCATGCACACGTACAGTTCACTGAAGACAGACACAAAAAAAGATCAATAGTTTAATCATTCGGTTTGGAATTATATTTGCAAACAGAAAACATCCACTTTTTTGAGTCAGTATACACTGTTGACAAACAGCCCAACTTTGGGTCAAATATAGACAAACCCAACTGTTGGGTTAAAATGACTGTCATTTAAATCTAATTTTAAACGTAACGAAAGCATTTGTTGTCATGACTTTTTGTCATATTATTTTTTACAGTGTACACTCTGGGTTGATTTAGAATATATGGTTATTTCTTTCCAATTAAACTAGATTAGAAAAAAGTCTAAGTTTTGGTTTTTATAGCTGATTTTACAATCTGATACCTCAGGTTAACACTGTCTGGTAGCCGAATGGATCGTCGTGTTGACTTTCTGGCAAACTTTTTTCCTCCCTGTAAGCAGGTGATGGCCCTGCGGATGTCTTTCACCCAGTGCTCGCGCTCCTCCAGGTGCGTCGCTTGGAAGTAATGATCCTGGTTCTTGGCTGTAGACACCTTGAAAACCAGCTGACGAAAAAACAAACTTTATTAACTCTTCAAAGGGTCAAAAATGACCCAGGCTCAATTTTTACAGCCTAAAAAAAATTAAACAATGATTTTTACCCTGAAGTTTGGGGACTTTATCAAAAACGACCCAGGAACCATTTTAACAGCAGAAAATTCCTAAATATTGTTTTTTTAATCTTAAAAGTTCGGTGACTTTTTCTAAAATAACCCAAAGTTTGAAAAAAAAGGATTTAACCCATCCATTGACTTTTAGATCAAAATGACCCAGGCACCATTTTAACAGGAGGTTAAAAAAAATGTATAAAAAAAAAAAACAATGTTTTTTAACTTGAAAGCTTGGAGACTATTTCTAAAATGACCCCAAAGTTGGAAAAAAATCTATTAACCCTGTTGACTTACAGATCAAAAATGACCCAGGCATGTTTTTAGCAGCAGAAGAAAATAAACTAAATGTTTTTATTGCTTGAAACTTTAGTGACTTTAATATGATCAAAAGTTAGAATAAAAACTGTTAGCCCTGCTGTTGACTTACTGATCCAAAATAACCCAGGCACTATTTTAACAGCAGGAAAAAAAACTAATCAAGTTTTTTCATCTTGAAAGTTCGGTTACTTTTTTCTAAAAATGACCCCAAAGTTAGAAAAACATGTTAACTCTGTAGATTTACCGATAAAAAAAAATGACCAAGGCACCATTTAAACAGCAGAAAATACCTAAACAATGTTTGTTTTCTTGAAAGTTTAATGACTTCATATAAATTCACACCAAAGTTAGGAAAAAAAACATTATCTCTGACTTGCAGATCAAAAATGACCCAGACATCATTTAAACAGGAGGTAAACAAAAAAAACATACTAAAAAAACTAAACAATGTTTGTTTATTTTCAACTTAAAAGTTTTTAGATTTTTTTTAAATGACCCAAAAGTTGGAAAAAGTCTATTAACCCTGTTGACTTACAGATTAAAAGTTACACAGGCACCATTTTTTACAGCAGAAAATACCTAAACAATGTTTTTGTTAGTTGCTTTATCTTGAAAGTTTGGTGACTTTATCTAAATTGACCCCAAAGTTAGAAAAAAAAACATTAACTCCGACTTGCAGATCACAAAATGACCCAGGGACCATTTTCACAGCAGAAAGACAGCCCTAATCAATGTTTTATTGAAGACTTTATCCAAAATGACCCCAAAGTTTTCTATTTTTATATTTTCATAAAGGCTGCACACATTTAGGGTACAATATAAATGGGTAACACTGTAAAACAATGGTGCATTATAGGTAATGTTAATGTATTTACTAACATGAACAAAGCATGAATAGGGCATAGGAGGAATAACTGATCGACCACAGCCAGGAACTGTTTCTAACTACAGCTCTAGAGGTGTAGTCGCAAGCATACAAGTTTGCGACGCAGTTTGTGAATGTTTGTTGGAACGATGGATTTGGGAAACGGCAAATCAATGAACTATGTTTGTAATGGTGGAACTTGCGACCTTATTTGGCTTATGATGTTTTTTGGAAATGCACCCCAACAGTTGGGATGAAGAAATAATTAAACCAATGTTGGGTTTGTCCATATTTGACTCAACATCAGGTTACAACAACCCAGCATTTTTAGTGTGTAGGTGTCAGAACTCAGAACTTCCCTGTTTGTCTAAAAACTGAAAGCATCTGACCAGAGCAGTGGGTGTTAAAGACGTCAGAATGATGAGTTTAAGAGAAAATAGCATCAAAATGTTGTAATAGCCAAAAATACATTGCATGAGTCAAAATTACATACAGTGCTCCGCAAAAATGAGTTCACCCCATTGTGAAAATGAATATTTTTATCCATTTCACAGTGAATATGGGTCATATATTATAATAAGTAGTTTAAACAAGCAGCTAAAGTCATTTTGTTTAGTGTAAAATCACATAACCTTGCCATTTCAATACACTTAAACAAAACTAAAGAGTTGTGAAAGTTTTGAAGCATCATAAAGCAGTGTTTAAAAACAGTAGTGTACAGTATAATATGATTACCGCTCTCTTGCTGAAGTCCTGGCAGGGGCTGGTGAGTGTCGCCCCCTTCAGAGGGATCATCCCCTTTGCGTTTCTGTCCGTCTTCTTCTTAAAGAACTCAATAGCATCGTCTTTTAACACAACCCACACCGCTTTCCATGAATTCAGCACAGTGCCCTGAAAAAACATGAACACTTTAGTGCACTGCTTACTAACATCACCACAGTAAACACTAGTGAACACACAGATACACACTAGTGAACACGCATACATTAATAAAAACATCTGGGCACACATACTCACTAGTGAACACGCATACACACATAAACACTAGCAAGCACATACACACAGTAATACCTAGTGTACACACAAACATGCAGTACACACAAATGAACACACATTGACTTATTAAACACTAGTGAACACACACTCACCAGTGAACATGCATACACAAACACACATACAACTAGTGAACACAAACACATAAACACTAGTGAACACAGATAAGATACACACAAGTGAACGCACATAGATTTATAAACACCAGTGAATACACATAAACAATAGTGAACACACACTGTGTTTTCTCTAGTGTTTTCTGTATGTACACACACACACTAGTGAACACATACTTACGAGTGAACACACACACACATATACATTAAACACTAGTGAACACACTTAAACATTAGTGAAAACTCATAGACACAAATACTAACCAACACACACATACATACAGAAAACACTAGTGAGCACACCCAAAAAGTGAACACATAAACTCACTAGTGAACACATACACATAAACACTAGTGAAGGCACACACACACACACACACACACATACAGTCAACCCTAGTGAACACAAACACTAGTAAACGCAAATAAATTTATAAACACTAGTGAATACACATAAACAATAGTGAACACTCACTGTACATACTGAAAACACTAGAGAACACACACACACACACACACTTGTTAACACATACTCACTAGTGAACACACACACACACATACACACTAGTGAACACACGTAAGCACTAATGAACACACATAGACACACAAACACTAAGTAACACACATACATACAGAAAACACTAGTAAACTCTGACACGAAAATTGAACCGACATACACAGTAGTGAGGACATACTCACTAGTGAACACATATACATGATAAACACCAGTGAATAACAAACACATACATATAGAAAACACTAGTGAACACACAAGTGAACACATACCATTGAACCCTCATACACACATATACAGTAAACACTAGTGAACACACATGAACATTAGTAAACACACAAAAAGTGAACACTCACACTAGTGAGTGCATACTCACTAGTGAACACAGATGCACACAAACATAAATACATAACCACTAGTAAGCATATACAGTAAGCAATAGTGAATATACATACATACCAGTGAACACACTCACTAGTGAACACACAAACACACTGGTGAACATACACTAGTGAACACACAAACACACTAGTGACCATACCCACTAGTGAACACACAAACACACTAGTGACCATACCCACTAGTGAACACACAAACACACTAGTGACCATACCCACTAGTGACCATACCCACTAGTGAACACACAAACACACTGGTGAACATACACTAGTGAACACAGATGCACACAAACATAAATACATAACCACTAGTAAGCATATACAGTAAGCACTAGTGAACATACATACATACCAGTGAACACACTCACTAGTGAACACACAAACACACTGGTGAACATACACTAGTGAACACACAAACACACTAGTGACCATACCTACTAGTGAACACACAAACACACTAGTGACCATACCCACTATTGAACACACAAACACACTAGTGACCATACCCACTAGTGAACACACAAACACACTAGTGACCATACCTACTAGTGAACACAGATGCACACAAACACTAGTAACAGTAAACACTAGTACAGTAAACACTGGTGAACATACACACTAGTGAAAACATACACAATCACTAGTGAACACACATACTCACTATTGAACACACAAACACACAAAATTAGTGAACACACGTGTAATAGCTGTGATTAGTCATTTTAATAATTACTATTAATTGTCATTTGAAGTCTTTATTTTATCTTTAACATCAATTAATTTCAGAAATTTGACAGTAAAGTGTTAAAATCGTGTCAAATATGATATGGTTTTACTTATTCGTCTATTTGTTTGAGAAGTATAAGTTCATAATAAGGAGGTTGATTACAGTAATGTGAGTGCCGATGGAAGATTATCTAGACATTCTCACAAGTATGCAGTGATATGAAACGCTGTTGTAACATGCTTTCTATGTAGAAATTAATGTCTGAAATACTACATCTGAACAGTGCAGCAGTTGTGGGAACCAGAGGAACTAGTTCCTGTCACAACCACATCACAACCCCGAATCTGCAATGATTCCTAAAAACTGGATGACCAGTCATCAATGATTAATTCCAGTAAAACACTGAACACCACGATCTTTTAAAAACATGATTAAACATTTCATTTCAGTGTATCTAGTTACCCCTATTGAACTTATTCTTCACATACAATCCTTTTGGCTCAAGACTTCCCATTTCATTGACTTCCATTCATTTTTAGACATCAAAATGGCTCGTTATGCTGCTTGATATTACAAACTGATATGTTCTTATTATTTTATTTGACTTTATATGTCTAGTTATGAGCACACTTGTTTGTAGAGCATGTAGTTTTGTGCCGTTTATTGTTCCTATAGTCATTTCTCCCATAGGAAAGCGAATAGGAAGTCCTGAAACAATCGCAGAAATGAGCATACTCTGCATTGCACAGTAAGTTCAGTATAAACTGTACAATAACAAATGCAGTTCAGTAAAGTGCGGATATGCACCGTCTGTCCTTTTCACTTCTGTATTTTAGCAAGACTAGTTTCCAGATGCCACTGCACAAATAGGAAATATGATGAAATGCTATGACAGTTCCCACATGAAGAAATCCTACAGCCATTTATAGTAAATATATGGTTCGAGCCTCGTCTGGGTCAGTTGGGGTTTCTGTGTGGAGTTTGCATGTTGTCTCTGTGTTGGCATGGGTTTCCTCCGGTTTCCCCCACAGTCCAAACACACGCGCTATAGGGGAATTGATTAACTAAATTGGCTGTAGTGTATGAGTGTGTGTGTGTATGGGTGTTTCGCAGTACTGGGTTGCAGCTGGAAGGGCATCCACTGTGAAAAACAAATGCTGGATAGGTTGGTGGTTCATTCCGCTGGGGATTTTTATGGGGTCACAATGAAACTTGTGTTGACCAAATGTTTAGTAAAGATAGATTTTTTTGAAGGGAAGAAAGAAAAAATGAAAGCAGAAGTCGGACGTTTCTACTTCTGCTCCCAAAATAGAGCAACTTTGTGGAAAGAAAATATATACAATATATAATAAATTACACTAAAGTACTGTATTATTTTCTCACATATTTAAAATTTACTATGGTTCATTTATTATACTAAGGTTCAAAAACACTACAGTAATACTCAAATTACAAAATCAGTCAAATACTCTAAAATACTATAACATTTCTTCACTACAGTAATCACCACAGGAAAAAAAAATGAGTATCTTATGTAGGGAATTACACTAAAATACTATATTATTTTTTCATTTCATTGAAAATTACTATGGTATATTTACTACACTAAGGCTCAAAAGCACTACAATATTAACACATAATATTTACTGTGTTTTATAGTAAAATACTCTAAAATACAGTTTTTTTTCATATTAATGCAATTTACCGTATTATATTGACCGTAGAAGCATTTATGAAAATCTATTACGTCCTATAGTAAATGACTCTAAATATGAAAGTGTCTATAGTATTTTATCCATATGACTGTAGTTAACTATGGTATATTTACTATAATAAGGTTCAAAAACACAACACAAAACACAAAAACAGCATTTACCACAGAAAATTGACTATGTTCTATTGTAACATACTCTAACAGATCTTTTTTCAGATTATTGCAATTTACTATAGTATATGTACTATAGTCAAATTGAAAAAACACTACAGTATTTACCACAGAAAATGTATTAGATTTTTTTTATAGTAAAATACACTAAAATACTACGGTATTTCTTCATATCATTGCAATCTACTATGGTATGTTTACTATCGTAAGGTTCAAAAACACTAAAATATTTACCACAGAAAATGTATATTATAAATTACGCTAAAATATTATATTATTTTTTTATATTAATAAATTTTACTAGTATAAAAAGGTTCAAAAACTCAACACTATTTACCACAGAAAATGTATTATGTTCCACAGTAAAACACTCTAAAATACCAAGGTATCTATAGTATTTTCCATATCATTGTAATTTACAATGGTACATTCACTATAGTAAGGTTTGATACGCTACAGTATTTACTACAGGAAATGTACTACATTCGGTAGTAAATTACACTAAAATTCTGTAATATGTTTTTAATTTTAATTGAAATGTACTATGGTAAATTACTATACTAAGTTTTAAAAGCTTTATAGTATTAACCACAAGAAATTTACTTTGTTCTATAGTTAAATATCCTATATAGGTTTTTTTCCAAATTATTGCAATTTGCTATAGTATCTTTACTATAGTAAAATTCAAAAACACTACAGTATTTTAAACAAATGTACTACGGTCTCTAGTAAAATACTATATTTTTTCATATCACTGCAATTTTCTATGATATATTTAAAATAGCAATATTAAAAAAATACTTCAGTATTTACCACAGAGACTGTAGTAAAATTTAAAAAAAATACTCTAAAATACTATAGTATGTTTTTCCTATATTGCAAGTTAATATGGTATGTTCACTATAGTAATGTTTAAAAACACTACAGTATCTACCACAAAAAAATGCTATATTCATAGTAAAATACTCTAAAACAGTGCAGCATTTTTTCAGACCATTGTAATTTACTGTATTTTCATTTACTATAGTAAGCTTCAAAAACACTGCAGTATTTACGTCAAAAATATATACTATATTATATAGTAAATTACTCTAAAATACTATAGTATTTCCTTTATATCATTGAAATTTACTACTATAAATCGGTTCAAAAACACAACAGTATTTACCACAGAAAATGTACTATGTTCTCTAGTAAATTACACTAAAATACTATAATATTTTTTCATTTAATTTAAATTTACTATGGTAAATTACTATACTAAGATTCAAAAACATTACAGTATTAACCACAGAAAACTTACAACAAATTCTATAGATAAATACTCTAAAATATTGTAATTTTTTTTCATATAATTGTAATTTACTGTGGTATATTTACTATGTTAAAGTTTAAAATACTACAGTATTTGCCACAGAAATTTATCAATGTTTGAAGTAAAATACTCAGAAAATACTGTAATATTTTTTCATATACTTGCAATTTAATATGGTATATTTGATATAGTAAGGTTAAAAATACTAGTGTGTACCACAGAAAATTTACTATGTTCTATAGTTAAATACCATATATAGATGTTGTTGTTGTTGTTGTTGTTGTTGTTTTCAGATTATTGCAATTTGCTATTGTATATTTACTATAGTAAGGTACAAAAACACTACAGTATTTACCATAGAAAAATCATTAGATTTTCAATAGTACAAAACACTAAAATACTATAGTATTTCTTCATATAATTGCAATCTACTATGGTATGTTTAGTAGGGTTACATAAACAGAAAAATGTACATTATGTAGTGAATTAGGCTAAAATACTACATATTTTTTATCACTTCAAAAAAAAATAAGTTAGCTTATTAGTTTTTACAAATGTAAGTAGATTGAACATAAAACAATCAGGTTGTGCCAAAAAATAATTGTGTTTCAGCTCATTTTAAATAAGTAGTTTGAACAAACTTAATTTTATGAGTGAATAAAATGCTCAAAAACACAACAGAAATCTTACTACAAATCCTCTAGTAGAATACTCTAAAATACCATAGTACTTTTCACATAACACCCTATAAATGCTCACCTTTTTGACCAAGTATCCTTCTCTGATAGTTGTTGGCTCCATGTCTCTACACTGTTGAAGTGTGTTTAAAACAGCCTGCAGGACTCGAAGGCTTCAGCGGATTCTGCGTCTCTGATGACACTTATAGACACACACTCGTTAAAACGGGAAGTTGCACACAGGCTGATAGGCAAGTTCATGGTCAGCCAGTTTCCTCTGTATTTTCAGCCCACACGCCACATGAGTCAATGATACACGCCTGTGTTCACCCGCTGTTATGTTCGCACACACTCTTTACAGGCATATTTTTGAACAGATGAAAGTCTGGCTCCACCTACATCAAAAAAATAACTTCATAGTAAACACATCGCTGTAAAATATACCTCAGTATTGTGAGCTTTCAGTTCGTTGGCTGTTGTGAATTACATAATGGGATGTTGAGCTCATCTCTGTACACTTTTGATGTTGACATTTCAACTCTACAGTTTAACACAGTGACTTTTTAGTAGTTTGAAATAATATAATGCATGATAATAAATAATATCTGGAGAAATAAGTGTGTAAAATGACAGAAAATGTGCTGCAGTTTGTTTCTGTAGCGTGATATACAACACCAACACAGACTATACAGCACTGCACACTATTAATAATGTTCACTTCTTCACATTTTTTAAGGTAAAAGTTGTTGGAAGCATTATTAATATCCCATAATGCAATTTAAAAGCAGAAATAAATGGGGAAAAATAAAAACATGAATCAGAAAATATGGAAAACTGCTCATTTATGGATAGTTTTCACAGTGTGTAGTGTTTTTGACAAACCAGCTGCATACTGAAAACGTACTCCTGTATACATTTCTGAAGAGGATTATAGATGTGGAGTTTTCGATGAACAGCGACAGGAGCGACATAGACTGACAGAAGCATCAAGCACACACTGACAACCACAACATGCAGACCTTCCCAGCACTGACAGCACAGATGGTGCTCTTTTACATATGCGGCTATGCTGACACATTGGCATTTGTAGCTCCGCCCTCTTCTGAAAAGAGCACAGTCTCATTTGAATTTAAAGCGACAGTCACCAAAGTGCCACAATTAGATCAAAGCCTAAAAGGGTCAGTTTCAGAGAGATAGCGAACAGTATCTGTGTGCGACTTTGAGCTGAAACATACACACTCTAGAGACACCAGAGACTTTATTTACATCTTGGAAAAACAGGTCGCCTTTAATATAAATTAGCATTTTTTCCCCCATGTTCGATATTTGAGATCTGCGCTAAACTAAAAACTAAACTTCTCTGACCACATCTCTAGAACTGCTCGATCGTGCAGATTCGCACTCTAACATCAGAAAGATCCGACCCTTCTTATCTGAACATGCAGCTCAACTCCTTGTTCAAGCTCTTGTTCTCTCCAAACTGGATTACTGCAACTCTCTACTAGCCGGGCTTCCAGCTAACTCTATCAAACCTCTTCAGCTGCTCCAGAACGCAGCAGCACGAGTGGTCTTCAATGAACCTAAACGAGCACATGTCACTCCGCTGCTCATCCGTTTGCACTGGCTGCCAGTTGCTGCTCGCATCAAATTCAAAGCTTTGATGTTTGCTTACAAAGTGACTTCTGGCCTTGCTCCTTCTTATCTGCTTTCACTTCTGCAGATGTATGTGCCCTCCAGAAACTTGCGTTCTGTGAATGAACGTCGCCTCGTGGTTCCATCCCAAAGAGGGAAGAAATCACTTTCCCGAACTCTCGCACTCAATCTGCCCAGTTGGTGGAATGAACTCCCTAACTGCATCAGAACAGCAGAGTCACTCGCTGTCTTCAAGAAACCACTAAAAACTCAACTATTTAGTCTCCACTTCCTTTCCTAATCTGCAATTGCCTCTCTGGATATCACACTAGCTATAGACCTGAAACTTGCCTACAGCACTTATTCATTGTTGCTCTTATAGTTGTGTAAATTGCTTCCTTGTCCTCATTTGTAAGTCGCTTTGGATAAAAGCGTCTGCTAAATGGCTAAATGTAAATGTAAATCGTTTCTGTTTACTCTTAATCTGTGGAAAAATACTTGAAGCAAACCACGAGAACTGGTACTCTCACAGGAAGCTGAAGGAAGGGTGTTACGACAAAAGGTGGTACATCGCAGCCCTGCGGTCACCAAAGAGGAAACAGGCAGGTTTAAAACGTATTCAGTATATTACAATAAATTACTAAACCTATTTGCATATTTGAACACCGTGCTTTAGTGCTCCACATTCTTTGTCATTTTTATTTATGTAGCTGATAAAACATCACAGAATGAATGAAATGAAAGGTGTTTTTTTTTCACATGTGGTTTCGAAA